TTTGAATTTAATTAAAACACAATTTTGGACAGAATAAAGTATAATGCTATAAGATTATGTTAATATGCACTAAGACATATTATATATGCATTCATGCTAACGAAGAGAGTCAATGAATACGGAGATGGTATTGGGTGCGTTAACAACAACCAAAAGTGCATTAAAAGGAAATAAAAATGAAAAGTGCAAAAATTATACTCAGTATTATATATATGGAGAAAAATGCATATATGGACATGTAAAATTTATCTTCAGAAGATGCACTGTTATGGCCGTTATATGCACTTTGAGTTATACATGACTCCATCAAAGTTCTATGAATCTCAAAAAGGACAACTTATAATGTCTTAGAATATTTAAATCAACTAATTGTATATTGTACCACAAAATTTATGCACTTCCATATCTGTCAACTCGCATGAAAGGTGCAAAACTTATATTATACATGAAGAGAAAAATGCATACATGGAAAACACTAAACACCTGTATTACCAAAGTTTCTCAAAATGCTTGTGCGGGAGAATTATGCTCCACGTAAATGCATCATAAAAAGGTTGGCAATGTAGTATGCATGATACACAATGCTATGTTAAGAGAAACTAATTTTAAAATCTAACAACACACCGTGGACAACAATCATTAAATTCAGAAAGTAGTGGAGATCATTAGGGGGGAGAAGATGACCATTACCACAATTAGACCAGCAATTCTATTTGCAAGAGTCTTCGGGGAATTGGTTCAAACACTTGGTGTGCATTCCAAAGACCTTTAGACCTAGGACCTGGGCAGTGCCTCTGCTCTTTCTACGACCTCAAGGCAATTAGCATTCCTCCTAAAATGAAATGACTTTATCCAATAGAAAAGAATAGAAATTGCCAAGTAGCACATATGACAATTTACTATCAAAGGTATTACTTGAAGACTTTTGTACGAGGCCAGAATATGTGCAAGAAATCTTGGGAAAAAAGATGAAGACTTAAAANAAGGTACCATAGATTGAAGCTATGGAGTCACTGTAGATGATGCGTTGATTTTCCGGTAGCGAGAAAAGGAAACTGAGAGAAAGAACCAGAAATAGGGCGCTGATTTAGGAACGACTAATGAGAGAGGTGAGAGAGATACGGTTGAGATGTAAAAATCCAAATATATCCCTGAGTAGATTCTGAAAGAATATTGACATGAGATCAGATCTAACGGTGTATAATTTATTCTTATTTCTTTCATTAGATCGTTTTCTCACCGGAACCAAACTCTATATATATATATATATATATATATATATATATATATATATATATATAGAAAAATAAAAAAAGAAGTGTTTTTGAAAACAGAGAGAATATGACATTAGCTAGTGACCAATTTTATGAAGGCCAATGTAATTTTAAAATTAAGATCGAGTACATGCACCCCTCATCTCCTTTTCTTTTTTTGTATCGTGAGAACACAATGCTACACAGAAGCAAACACTGGCAAACAGCCAAAAGGTCACACTACATACATACTACTATAGATAATACTGCTCAATAATCTTAACTATCTCTGTCTCAAATGAGAACGTACCCATGTAACTCTATATCCCTTCACCACTTTTCTATCTCTTGACATGCATATATCCCACATTGTAACATCGCCCAATTAAACTACCGTTACGATGTTTGAGTTATTTTCAAATCATTTTATATGAAAAATGATACTCCGTATAAAACTTAAAAATAAAAATTACATATTAAAAAACTATATCAAAAAAATCTACAAAACTAGAAGTGACAAAACTATATTATTTTATGAAATGTGTGATGCCAAAATATGTTATGATCACAAACTTGAAGTTATGAATTATGATCACAAACTTCAATTTACAATCATGCTCAACAATGAATTAAAGATTACACAATTACTGGAAATTACAAGAACTTATAGAACGAATTAATACTCCATGTTAATTTGTTTTAGCATAAATTTTCAAGTATCACGATGGAATAATAATGTAATTATAATGTTTAAATTTGACGAAGTTTGACTGCTAAATTCAAGTTGTCGTCGTCATCGATCATCGTCATCTCCCATGCTTGGTGCATACACATACCGAGATCCTCCGCCGCCGGCGCCGGCGGTGCTGTCGGCGTGGGCGGCGTGGCCGCGGCCGAAGGCGCGGACGTGGTCCTTGAGGGAGCGCTTGTGCTTGAAGTCGGAGCCGCAGACGCAGAACCAGAGGCGGCCGCAGTTCTTCTCGTGGGTCTTCCAGTCGCCCCGGACGGCGAAGGGCTTGCCGCACTTCCGGCAAGAGAACTGCTTCGACCCCGCCGCCGCGTGCTTCCGCTTGTAGTGGGTCTGGAGGGTCCGGAAGTCCTTCAATGGCTTCGACCTCGGGTTCGCTATGTTGTTCTTGCACCCCTCTGCGCAGCAGTAACACGGCAGCCTGCTCATCGCGCTGCTGCTCGGAGAAGATGATATCGACGACGACGACGGCGAGGGTAGTTTCGTCCCTTTCAGTGATTCTGGGCCCCTTCTGTACTCCGACCCGTGGCCCCACATGTGCATCTGAATCAATTATTTTATTTAAATGGGAAATTTATTTCAAATAATCCATATTTTCATGAAGTAAAGAAAGTAGGGAGCACAATATTTCTCTTTTCTCTAATAAAATCTTAACAATTCACTTTTTACTTTTTAATGCTTTTCTTAAAATCTATAAAGGTCAAACTCGAAGAATTAATTCAGGATGGAGTACGTCAAATAATCAATCAAAACATATAAATAAACAAATTTTTTTTGCAAGTTTAAAATACTTCTTTCGTTTCTTAAAACGCCCACTCTTTCATTTTTTTGTTTTCCCTAAAATATTTCAACTCTATTAAAAATCACTGTTGTTCATATTTTTTCGTATCTTATCTATCACATCATACTATTTCTATCTATCATATCAAATACTTCCTCCGTCCCAAAAAGTTTTACACATTTTGACTAAAGTGGAAATTAAGGGAGGGATAATTTTGTGTTGACTTTCCAAAAATACCCTTGATGTGATGGATAAAAGTAGGATGTGATGTGTAGATTATAAGAAAAAAGGTATGATGTGATAGGTAGGATTTGAAAGAGTAAGGGGTAAAAGTGGTTTTTTAATAGAAATGGATAGGAGATTGTGGGACGCAATTTTTTTGAAAGGTGTAAATCTTTTTGAGACGGAGGGAGTACAAAATTAGAAAGATAACTACAAATATACATTTTTTTAAAATCAAAATAGAAATCATTTATTTTATGAAACGGAGAAAATAGTAAAGAGTGTAATTTTTTTGTTTTAGAACAAAAGAGTATATCATGGAGTCATGGTTAATCTGTGGAGTCAAAGCCAAATATTACCGGGTCTCATTTACACTTTCTTGTTTGCCATGGAGCAAAAAGGGTAAAAAAATGAATAGTGGAACGGGATACAAGGGAGGAAAGCACGTGTGCAGGCATATTTTTACCGTGGAGGAAAATCGAGGCTTTCTATTCCTATTCGGGAAGATTGGGAAACTATACACAAACAGTAACTCCCATTATTTCACATCGTGTCCCGCCTTAAATAGTGCACACATTTTCATCACAAGAGTCAATTCTAATTACTCCATGTTTACTTGTTGTTTTCAGCATTCTATTTTTGGGTATACCACGTACATAATGGTACATTACCCCAAACATTTTCAGGTGGAAAAATGAAATATGAGGGGTCTGTGTGTAAATAGTGTTTGAGTTTTCGATAAAATTTTAACGGTGTAGATTATTTTTGAAAATGTTAACGTTAAATGCTGGTTGTTGATAGCCTTTTCAAAATGCTAAAGCTAATCTCTAACGATATTCCCAAACAAACCCGAACGCCTTTTATTCTAGAATTTCAAATGAAAATAATTTGAATTTTATAATTTAATTTTAGCCTTATATTTTCCTCCTCCATCTCTAAACGAGTGTCACGTCACATAAAATAAAACAAAATTTATTAATTTATTTTATCTAAAAATTGATGTAGAAATAAAGTGATAAAATTATTTTATTTTATTATTAAATATGTAATAAACGCACCAATAAATAAAAATTTCTGGAATTGTATTTTAGGAACAAAAGTATGATTTAATTTGTCTCTATTTGGAACAAAAACTTATGTTATGCGGGAGGAAACACTTAGAGAGAAAGCTTAGCTAGGGGACAATGCAAAGACAAAGGTAGCTACACTACTTCAAGGAGTTATATGAATATGGAATTATTCAAACCCTAAGTATTGGAGATTTTACATTGAATTACTAATCATTATCCACCACTTATTTTCAAACCCTAATTTATTTTTACTTTAAAGAAGAAAATGATAAATATTATTGTGTCTCTGACGATTTGGGTCTTTCAATTTCCTGAGTTAACTTTTTATCTTAAATTATGCTCAAGTATATTGTTTAACACGGTATCGGAGTTAAAGTTTTTTATGTTGCGCCGCCCTTAGTAATCTGTCCCTCGTGTGAGGAGGCGTGTGGAGCTATACTCATCTCACGTTAGTCGTGTACATCAATATTACGTTCATAATGGCTTGTGTTATACATTTTGGAGTGTCAATCCAATAACAAAATGTGAAATATAATATAAATATCATTTGTAAATATTTTTTTAATGACTTGTGATTATTTTTTTTTAAAAATTTTGACCGAGAAATCAAATTGTAAGGAACTTTAATTTCTGAGAGATGAAAAGATAATGGAACTCTGTGAAAAGTCTATTTTACCCTTGTAACAATAGTAGAGAACTAGAGGATGGCAAGTAAGTGATGAGAACCTGCATGTTGTTGAAACGGTTGAATGTTTTGTGACAAACACTGCAAGAGAACTGAGTGGGCCCAACCAGGATTTCAGCCGGTGTTGGAATCCAGTACTGCCCTCCTACACCGCCCCCACCACCAAGACTCATTCCGCCCCCGGTGGCGGCGGCATCTGCCACGTCACCGCCGCCACCGGGGCCGACGACAACGGCATTGCTCGACGACGACCAGCAGCTGCCGGAGTTAGTAGCTCCGGGCAGAAAAGAAGGCGGCGGCGGCGGAGGTGGGCCCAAGGGAAATGCCAGTGTGACTCCCCATTCATTGTTATGGATGTGGCTATTGTTGTTGTTTTGTTTAGTGTGATAATGGTGTTGGCCAGGAGGGCCTAGGCAAAGAACCGTGGAGGCGTCCTCACCTGATTCTTCCTCCTCTACTTGTTGTTGTTGAGGGTTTTGTGCCCCCATGGAATGGGGCTGTTGAGTTTGCATGGTATTGTTGTATGTTCTACATCAGGAGTTCATCTGTGTTGTCAATGGGTATATGGATGATATGATTGGAATCATGATGAGGTGAGACAAGCTATTTATATATTGGGAGCTATTACTCCTTGGAGATGGTCTAACACATTGAGAAGATGAGTTAAAAATTAATCATCAAAATATGACTTCCAATATTTTTATACTAAAATATACTCTCTCCGTCCCAAAAAGTTCTTCACGTTTCAAAAATACTGTGTCCCCAAAAGTCATTCACATTACTATTAAAAAACCACTTTTACCCCTTAGTTTTTCATACCTTACCTATAACATCATACCTTTTTTTAAATAATCTATACTTCACATCCTACTTTTACCCATCACATCAAAGGTATTTTTGGAAAGTCAACACAAAATTATGTCTTCCTTATTTTACCACTTTAGTCCAAATGTCTCTATTTTCATGGGACAGAAGGAGTAATTTATGATGTTAACACTTAATATTAACAAAAATAATAAAATGTTAATCTATAATAGTCTCTCCATCTCAAATAAAATTATTATTTTGGAACGACGTATAAAAAGCTGTGGTTTTTAAAAAGATTTTATTTATATATTAATATAGAAATAAAAAATAAAATTTACAAAAAAGTGATAAAAATATTTTATTTTATCAAATAAGTATTAAAAATTTTCAAATAAATAAAAATTATACGGAGTAGTAAAAAGGTAAATAATTCTAATGAACCAATGTTGCAAATGTAGGTGCATAAGTGCATTCCTCGAAGTCCAGTAATCCCTGTTCAAAATATTTGACCGTTGGGTTTTTTTTATTTATATTTTTAATTGGACATACAAAACCCTCAATTAGTCAATTTCTACTTCACAGTGTCTTTCAGAAACCAACCAGAGAAGGAATTGAAGGGGAAGTTAGAGGGAGAAGAAGCACAGAAGAAGCTGAAATGGGCGGGAATGGAGAAGAGATTCATACCCAGAAGGAGACGATGGGTTCTGAGTACGAGCATTTCCGGGAAGAAAGGATAAAGGAAAATCTGGAAAGGATGAGAAAGCTGGGAATCTTCGATCTCTCTCTCAGATTCAAGTCTACCAAGCCAAACATTTGCAGCAAATCCCGCAAAGCCCCAAAGATTCCATCTTCTCCTTTGCCCTCTCCTCTCCCCGCTCGCCGCTCTTCCAGGTCCCTCTCTCTCTCCTAGGGTTTATTTCAGATTGAACATTTGCTTTTCGACCTTGAAGGGTTTTTCTTAGATTGAAGGCTACTGGACGATTCATACTAAATTTTTAGTCAATTGCTTCTGCATTGAAAAAAAAAAAAAAAATAAAATAAAAATAAAAATGAGAACTTTGATTATAAAGTGAGAACTTTGACTATAAAACCTTTCCTAGACCTACAATTAAAAACTTGAGCTCTTGATTGAGTTTGTTCTTTGACATGATATAAGAGTTTTGTTGGTGTTGAGGTTACGAGTTCGAAACTCTAACACCCAGTTTGTAAAAATGATAATGTTGCGAGACTCGAGTAAAAACAATTTTGCCTTGGGGTTTGAAGCAGTGTGTTAGAGTAAGCATTTTTTTCGGCCTAGAGCCAAATGTCTAAGCTCGTGATTAAGTTGGTTCCTTTATAGTTTGACGGGAAAATATTAGGTATTTGGGGAGTAATTAATTGACATTTCCATTTTGTGTGTGTGGTAATTTTAGGCTGCAAAATGCTACGCCAGTTAGCTACTCTGAAATACCTCTAGGAAAGAGGGGAAAATCTTTGGATATTGAGGATGACTTGCTTGCTGGTTCAAAGGCTGAGGTGTATACAGAAGAGCATGAGAAACTGTTGGGTAGCACTGAAATGAGTTGGACACTATTTGTAGATGGATATGGGAAGGACGGGAAGCGGATTTATGATCCAGTCACGGGGAAGACTTGCCATCAATGCCGGTCTGTGATGAGTAGAAATGCCTTTCTGAGCCATTGATTTCTGTTGCTTCGCTATGCTATCATATGTTTCTTCCATTATCTGACTGGAGATATTTGTTTAGTGAGTAGTGATTGTGTTTGACAGGCAGAAAACTCTCGGTCTTCGTACTCATTGTAGCCACTGCAACATGGTCCAGGGGCAGTTTTGTGGAGATTGTTTGTTTATGAGGTACTCTCTCTCTCTCTCTCATTTAATCTTATGCTGGGGCATAATTTAGATGGCAAATAAGGGGTGCAAAAGGTGAATACCCGAGCTCGACTCTTGCCAGAGGCAATGAAGGCAATCATGAGTAGATGTAGCCCTTGCACATATAAGGGACGCCTCACTACTTATTTGGTCATTTAAGATTATAGCTCAGCTCAACCATCATCTCTGATGGAGCCAAAATTTCACCATTTTTTGGCTTTGGGGTATGATGGAATAAATCAAAATGGATCTCTAAACTGTCTGCGCTTCTTTAATTAATGAAGTAGCAGTTAGTCAAGCAATGCAACTTTTGACGTTGAGCCGGGGGTCTCTTTGGAAACAGCCTCTCTACTTTCGAGTAGGGGTAAGGTCTGCGAACACACACCCTCCCCAGACCCTACTCTTGTGGGATTCAACTGGGTTGTTGTTGTTGTTGTTGTTCAATGACTGTCTGGTTGGTCTTGGAGGACTCTAGGGATCCTTTTTCTTCTCAATTTATGTTGCTAATTATCATTTTTGGACTTTACTTTGTGGAACTCGACTGGTTAGGCTGTTATAGTAGTAGTAGTTTTATTTTCATTGTTCGAAAGCAATTATGTTGCTGATATTGTTTCTTTTTATGCACTATTTTTACTTTGTTAATCTCCGTGCTTACTTATGTTAGAGTGTCATCCCACATCGGAAGTTCAAGAGCAAAATAATCAGTATATAAGCTCTTGAGTTGAACTAACTAATCGATTGGATTCAATCTTTTAATGTGGTTCAGCCTAAGTGTCTTATACCCCAATCCAGTTGTCCATACCCATCCTAAATTCTATCAAGTTAAATTGAAGAACATAAATTGGGAGAGTATAAGAATAATGGTTCCATTAAGCTCCTTTGCATCCAGCAATGCCTTGTTCATGTAAAAAACAATCTTAAAAAGAAATCTTTCATCCGTTATCTGTCTTGTGGTCTGAAAAGCGTAGGTGTATGTACACAGATATGGAGAGCATGTGCTTGAAGCAAACCAGAACCCGGATTGGCGTTGCCCAGTTTGTCGTGGAATCTGCAACTGCAGCTTGTGCCGACAAGCAAAGGGTTGGGCTCCTACTGGTGCTCTCTACAGGAAGGTAGTACTATTTAATACGGAGTATATAAAGTATAAAGACAGTGGTGTTAAGATAGGCACTTACCAATTAAAGTTAGTAGTGGGAGCGCAAGAATTTATAATTTTCCAATATGGAGATTCTTCGATTATACAAAAAATGAAAAGAATACTAGGATTACGAGAATATGTTTACAAAATTAACTCACACTATGGTGGGTCACTCAAGGTTGAGGATAAGGAATTAGAGACTTCCCAAGTTATCTCTCTTCTCTCTTTAAAAAGGCTCTCTAACTCTCTTGTTTTCTCACTCTAAGGAGTGGCTTCTCTCTTGATTTTGGATGGATAGGAATGAAGGATCTTACCTCTATTTATACTGCTCCACCTCCATAATGACAAAAGGTGGAGATTAATTCTCTACAATGCTTTACACATTATAGGAATCTCTAAAAGGTGGAGATTAATTCTCTATAGGAATCCTTCCATAAGGTTTCACATGTCTCTTGAATATTTCAAAGGCTTCCATATTTTTTCATAAGCTTCTAGAGAGTTCTACACTTCTCTAGAGTTTTCCAGATTATTGTAGAAAACTCTACACTTTTCTAGAAAGGTCTAGAATTTTCTAGAACCCCTAGAATTATATAGGTAACCCAACAAGAGGCACCTTGTGAAGTAAATTCATATATAAATGTGTATGTGTAACATCATTCTTCCGTTGTCTCAAATATCTATAGATTAACAAACTGGGTTACAAGTCGGTTGCACATTATCTCATTCAAACCCGCAGAGATAAGACAGGTCCAGATAATAATGTGCCTGATGATGGTGTACCTGCAAAGAGATCTTTACCTTTCTCAGTTGCCGAAACTCAAGCCGAAACAAATGAAAATATGGATAAAGAATCAAATACTCTCATGAAGATTACTTCCATGAGTTCGAGTAGCAGCCAGAAAGAAGAATGCATCATTGATGACAATGGTGAAGCCCCCCAACCTTGTGATAGGAATCATGGGCCAGAAACAAGTCCTAATTCCAATGAGAAACCATCCTCAGATGGAACTGAAATGATTCAAGAAACATCAAGTCAAGCTTCTGAAGCCAAAGTCAGTGATGATATAACTGATTCAGAGAAGATGAATGTTTGTCCTGTTGAACCAATCCCAGGCAGCATTGATACAACTGAAGATAATGACAACTTTCCTTCTGATGGAACTCTAGATGCTCAGCAGAACTGGAGCAATGCTTGTGATGTTAAACCTGCTGATACCATTCTTGGTCAAAACACAAGTCCACCGCGGAGAAGGAAGCGACCGGCTCCTGAATCAATCCCGGACAGCATTGGTCAAAGGCTAAGAGAAAGGCGCGCTAGAACCAGGTGATGTCAAAGTCATCATTAGTGTCACTGTCTGTATCCTAAAATTCTGCATGAAACCCGTATTTGCATCTCGCTCGATGCTAATATGTAATGTGAAGCCCATCTTGGTTCTAAGGTTTTGGTTTTTTGGATGGTTTACACCTTTGTGTCCAAAAGGGCTCTTCTCTTTTTTGCATGGAGCTGGAGTAACCTGTGGAATTATGTTACTAATTATCGCGAGGAATGTTCCTCGGTAGCTACTCGTTTGATCATGAAGATTAGGAAGCTGAAGTAGTAAATCTCAGTTTAGTCTGAGCATTTTTTTTGCTGCATGAGATGGAATCAGACTGCAGGTTTTCTTGCTAAGTGTGGGTTTGATGCCTCTTTTTGTTTTTGTTCTTCAGTTATTGATCCATGTAACAACTTGTGTTCTTTTCTAGCCTACTGTATTTGATGACATCAGTTTTCCATGGCTAAAGGATAGTTGTATGTATGCCTTGATCAAGATGAATTGTTTGAATGACTTGTTTTTTAGTGTTATTGACTCTATTACAATATAATATTTGTTCATATTTTCTCAATGTAATGACGCAAATTGAGTCAACGATTTTGCCTTCGCTAGAAATCTAGTCTATCATGGGCAAGCTTTTCCATGAATATGGGAGAATGTAATTTTCGGAGTTTCTGGCACTTAAGCCAAAAGAGAAGCTCAACTAGAATTTCTTAATTATGATAGTGATCATCTTTTTTAATTTTTAGAGAGTACAATTGTTATTGGCTAATAAAAATTAAGAGTAATGTTAATTTGATGGCAAGTTGGAATTGAATTAAAATTATTTTAGGAAGTCTTCTTTCTCGTGCGATTTCTTTAAGGTCACTCGAGCTTGGCATGCCCCTTGGCTATTCTGGTTAAGCCAACCTCTCCCAACCACTGGCTCTAAAGGTCATGACCTTAGAGTTGCAGGGTACATTTCGAATGGCTCTTGGGATCTGTCAGTAGTCTTAGTGATATCAATGATATAAACATTGAAGCTATTCTTCAGATTCACCTTCCCGCAACACCTGTCTCCGACTCTCTATACTAGCGTCTCACTTCCAATGGGCACTACTCGACCAACTCTGCATATCGCGCCCTCTTGCCGGCTTCAAATGCAGCTTTAGAAACAACATTCCCATCGCGAAACGACATCCTTCCGTCTGACAAATGGAAACGCTTTTGGACAGTCAAAAATATTCTCCCAACTTGTGGTCACCTTTTTTTCAAACATGTGGACGTCAACCCTCTCTGTCTGAACTGTAAGCTGCTACCAAAATCAGTTCACCATCTATTCTTTGATTGCGTCTTTGCACAAGGACTTTGGTACTCATCTCCTTTAGGATGGTCCAACTTAACTAGCACCTCTTCCTCACACTGGTTCTCTTGAATTCTTCCATTGTTCAATAGTAGTGAAACCTCACTCTCTTTCATCTTGGCAGCAATTTGGAAATCATGAAATAACTCATTATGGTGTCATCGCCCCAATGGCCTCATCCTCTAAGCACATAGAATGGTATATACTATGGAGTATCAATTATCAGAGTGGCAGAAAGCGACAATTGACGTCTCTAGCCCAAGCCACAGTAGGCCTCCGCGCGTAGATAAAACCTCCTATGGACTGGGTAAAACTTAATGTTGATGTTTTAGTGGGCCTCCCCGACAATCGCACCGAAGTTGGTTGGATCGTCCACAACCACCATAGATCTATTTATGCTGCCAAAAATATCATCCTTCCGTCCTATCACTCCACAAAGGCAGCAGAGGCTCTAGGTGGCCTAAGATCATTATCGAATCCGACTGTCTTGAAGTTATTGAAGCTCTCCAATAACCATTCGCCGATGATATCTCTCCTAAATTGTTAATCTCTACTCTTTTTATTGGGAAGAGTTTTTTACTCATTTACCGAATTTGATTATCCACGCTCTAGCTCAAGTAACTCGTTTACCTCTGAATATCGAAAGTGTTTATCCCCCAAACTTTCTGCTCGACATTATTCGTAATGATTAATACATTCATTTTTCCAAAAAATTGAATTACTCTGTACATTTAGACCTGTCAAAAAATGACCCGACCTGTTTTTGACCTAAGACCCGACAAAATAATACTGGATTTTGAACAAAGGTTTTGCTGACCGAACCCGAAACTGACCAACCCGAAATTACCCGTTAAAAATGGGTCAAACCCGACTGAACCCAAACCCGATCTGACCGACCCGCTAATCTAAGAAATTTTCAAAATCATATGCTAATCTAAGAAATTTTCAAAATCATATGCTTTAATTATATTTCTTTGCTTACTACTCGTTTTTAACGTATAAATTTATATTTTCGTACAAAATTGTAATGATATCGCATAATTATCTTATTTTTTTCAAAATTTTCTGCATATTTAGTTTTTTTATTCGTAATATTGACAATTGGTCATAAAAATTACTTAAAATTTAAAAAAAAGAAAGTCATACCCCTTGGATTGACCCGAAACTGATGACATTGGGTCATGAATATGTAGCTCTCAATGTGAACTCAAACTTACCCGAACTCGAAGTAACCTGAACCCAATGTGATCGAACTCGAATCCGACGTGATCGACTATTTTACCAGTACATTTAAATCGAATTTAGCAGGTGATCAATAAAAATTACAGAGTATGCAGTAACTAAAGAATTTATCAGTAAATAAATACATCTAGAGCTGGCAAATCGGTCGGTCAGGTCGGGTTCGGGTTCGGTCACTTCAAGTTCGGGTTATTTCGGGTTTGGGTCAATTCGGGTTCGGGTTTAGAACTGTATGTTCATGACCCAGTGTCATCGGGTTCGGGTCGACCCAACAGGTTATGACTTTGGTTTTTTAAATTTTTAAAATCACATTAACGCTTACATTTTCTATTAAATAAATTTAAAATATCAAAAAAAAGTATTAAATCTATAAAATTATTTTATTTTAAACTCTAAAGTAGTTTTTAGATATATATATCAATATAAGGAATTTAAAAATGCTTAAGTTTTGGAAAAAAGTAAGATAATTATGCAATATCATTAAAATTTTGTCTGAAAATATAAATTTATACACTAAAAACGAGTAAAAAAGTGTATAATTTTGAAAAATTCTTACTCTAGCGGGCCGGTCAGGTCAGGTTCGGGTTCGGTCGGGTTTGACCCATTTTTAGCGGGTCATTTCGGGTTCGGTCAACTTCGGGTTCGGTCATCAAAGCCTTTGTTCAAAACCCAGTGTTTTCAGGTCGGGTTTCGGGTCAAGATGGTCACTTTTTGTCAGGTCTAATACATCATACAAGTAAATAAATAAAGAACATCGGTGTTAAAAATTAAAATGTCTTTCCGTTGTTGTATCTACCGCAGTGAACATTTCATTAGTGAAAGGGAGACGTGAAAGTTTTGTGAGAAGTCTCCGGCGATCAAATGCCTATGGCGGATAAGAAATTGATCATCGCCGTCGAAGGCACCGCCGCCATGGGCCCTCACTGGAACTCCATTGTTACCGATTACCTCGACAAAATCATTAGGTTTACGTTTTACTCTCCTGTTTTCTTCTACTCCGTACAATTGTGCTTGTTTATGTAATTTCTCATTTGGTGAATGAGCGACAACTCATACTTCGTCCGCCCAGCTGGGTGGTTTCAACTTGATCAGGAAGATTAACAAATTGTAAAATTGTGTGGTTGAATTCGTTTAGGATAAAGAGATAACATTTGTTCAACAAATTCGTTTCCTTGAATGGGAAGTGAAAAAAAGTTTTTTTTTTTAATTATTTACAGGAGTATTTTTTCAGCCTAATTCGAGTTGTATCATGATTAGCTTGTTCTTTGCTTGGGGTTTTACGAATCAATATGTGTTTTCTGTCTTCCAAAATTATAACTTGCACTTTTTTTCATCCAACATATAATATATGTTCAGTTACACAAGCCAGAACAAGGATTTCCCTTCTTGGCATATGCATGATTTATTGTTCTGTTATGATTTTAAGATGTTATGCTTCTTCCTATTAAAAAAGTATCTCATAGGAGATGAACTATGTTCATGTTTCATTTTTTTGTGTGGTTATGATATGAGATGGCAGTGGGGTGGGGCTGTGGCGGGGCAATACTCTGCTCCCCGCCGCGTGCAATAGAAACTCTCCCCATCTCCTCCGTGGGAGAATTTTTTTCCCACCCCCAATCTCACAGGTCCCAATCCTCACGAAGATCCACGGATTTTTTGGGAAAGTGAATACCCAATTTTTCACAAAAAACACAAGTAGAATCCTCAGGAAATGGTTAAAAATTCGAATATGACAGAGCATAGAGGTCATAGCATATGGTTCAAAGGACAACAATATATGAGTAATAAAAACTAGGGAAGTTTTGATCATTATCTTGATGATTTGTCTAGACTAAATTTGAAAAAAAGAACACTAAACTTATGGTGTTGAAAGTTCTTGTGACTGGCCATAACTAATATCAATGAATAGAAGACGAGTCAGGCATCAGGCATTGATCAAGAGAGGATGAATGGTTTTTGCTAAACCACAATTGCCATGAGGTGCGAGCATTGAAACGTAAGGTTTAAATCTAGAGAGGAGGCACTGCCAGCACTAAGAGAGTAGGTGCATATGCGAGGATCATGAGCAATTAGAGTCAGAGTGAGTATTCATGATATGGGAGGATTTCATCATTTAGAGTTAGTTTGTGTACGAAGCATATAGTATAACAATATATATGAAATGCTAAAATTCACATCGGTGCGGGGAGTATGATCCCCATCCCCATCCCCAAATTAATGGCTGGGGAATATTTGTTCCCATCCCCACCCCCACTGGGAAAAAATGTCCAATCTCGGGCCCTGATTGCAGATTCCCCACGTGGATCCCCACACTCTCCATCCTCATTGCCATCCCTAGTCATTATTCCACGTGCTTCATTGATTTTAATCTATTTGTCACCATGCTTAGAAAATAGCCCTATTTGGCACTCCGCCACTTGTTTGTTACAGATTTACAGTTATTTCTAAGAAAAAGTGTTTTGTAAGGTGAGTTGTTTGTGAATTAGCAGTTTTTAGAATTCCTAAAATACCCTTAAATTGAGTTCATTTTATTTAAATCATTTCTAGTATTTTATTAATTTATTTCTTAACTATCATCCCCAAGTCAAAGTTGCATGCTTTTGGTAGTATTTCTCCTAAATCAAATAAATACCCCTCTTTTCCTCGATAATAAAAACCAAATACCCTTTTCCCAATATACTATTTCTGATGAATCTTGAATTGCGTTCTATATGGCAAGATAGTAGAATGTTTTACCCAAACTTACGAATTCATTGCATTCATGTTGTCTATGATATTCACAATGGAATTATAGTGGCTTAGTGCTGATTTCCAGCAATACTTCCAGCTATTAATTTTCTATAAAAATGCAGGTGCTTTTGTGGAATGGAAACAGCAGCACAGGTTAGCAAATTTGCAATAGCATTGAAGTCAAGCTTTTATTCTTCATCACTGGATTCACTGCTATGATTAAAATTGTTATGGTTACAGATCACCTTGATTTATGTAACATCTTATGAATAATAAATGAAGAAACTCTAGAAAGTTTTAAGATTTCACGACTCACTTACAATTTACGGAATTGAAAATACTTCGTATATATTTAATTAGTGTGTTCCATGGTGAGCATGTTGTTTTTACAATATTAGTAAATACTAGTAGCTTTTACCAGTGTGTTGCACAAGATTTAGTCTGCGTTTTTTTGACGTTTGTATTGGAAATGCAATTATGGTAGATTGGTGGTGCACATATAGTTTATGTAAGATAAATATGACTGCATAGTTTGTAAAATAAATTTCAATAATCTCTGATGGAGCCAAAGATTCACTATATTCATTCCTTTATTCCTGCTTCATACGACATAGTAACATACTCTGAATTTGCAGATTAAGAAACATGTTTAAAAAAATTGTGCTGCGGATATAGTCCTGCGCATAAGCGGATTTAGTTCACTGCTATAGTTAGCACTAGTAACCAGATTTGCATGCACCTTTTCTCTTGTCTGACTTGCCACTGCTTTATGTATGGCTTTTCCTTTAGTGCAATTTATTAGTCCTAACTTTTACACACTGCTTGTCAAAATGTTCAGAAGCCATCTGGGGCTAATGCGGAGCTTGGTTTGGTTATGTTTAACTCACATGGCTCTCATAGTGGTGCGCATGTCATCCCTAATTCATTTCCAATCACTTGAAAAAGTGCTTATTTGTGTTTGTTATCTCACTAAATTTTGATTGATCTCTTGTCGTTCAGAGACTGCATTGAGACTCATGTATTGAAGGTCATTACTTCATGCATTCATCTTACTATCTCCACAATGAAAAAAGGAAAAAACACACTCGTTTGTTTATATATCAGTTCTAGAAGAGGTGTTGTGTCTTTCTTATCTCTTACCAGTTCTATGCACCAAATTAAATTTTGGATAAAGGCAGAGGATGCCTATTCAATAATGTTTTGAAACTTTAGTTCATAATTATGTGCAGTTGAAAAACTTTTTTCAGCATTTCTTTCTTACTATGAAAATTAAAGTTTAATTTCCTGTTCAAATTCAAAATTAAGTACTCTCTCCGTCCATATTTAATGTTCCCATTTGCCTTTTGCACAGAGTTTATGAAAGGTGGAATCACTTGGCTTAAAGTTATGCAGAGAAAGAATAGGAATTAGGAACCACACAATACTTTGCTTAAAAAGAAATGAGAACATTATTCAGGGACATCCCATAAAGGAAATTACAACAACAACAACCACAAACCTAGTATCTTAATTGAATTGGGGTCAAGATGTATGCAACCTTACCCCTGCAAAGAGACGGGGGTTGTTTCACTCAGACCCTTGATGCATTGCTGCATTATCTTAAGTACGACTCTTTTAGCTCCTTTGGCAAATGGAGTAATACACAGTACTTTTTGTTGTTCTCAGTATTTTATTGATGTCTTGAGGATGTAGTGTACTACCACATCCCCTTCATCTCTGATTCTTGTCTCACTTATGAGATGGTAGTTGGTACTAATTTTCCCTTTTTCATGTTTGTATTTAAGTAATCAACTTTATTAAAGCTGCATAAAAAGTGTGAGCCCAATGCCGCCCGATACGTATCTGTACATATTATTCGCTTTTCTGTGGCTATAAATTTCATTTTATGTTTTCATGGCGGCAATTTAAAATTTCATTTGTTCCACATTTGCTTCCGCATCTTAGCGGTGTATTTTGATTTACTTGGTGTGTGATAATATTCTTCGACCAATTGCATCATCTTTCTTGCAGCTTGTTTGGTTCAGCGAAGTGGCTGGACTAGAGATGTTGATCGTTTTTTCCAGTGGCTCTCATCCATACCCTTTGGTGGTGGGGGTTTTAATAATGCTGCGATTGCTGAAGGACTAGCCGAGGCTTTAATGGTGTGTGCTTCTATTGGCTATTTTATTCATGATATTGGAAACAACCTCTCTACTTTCGAGTAGGGGTAAGGTCTGCGTACACACACCCTCCCCAGACCCTACTATTGGGATTCAACTAGGTTGTTGTTGATATTGGCATATGAGTTTTTTAATTAGTAACATCATCTTGATTTTTTTCCAGAGTCAATGATTTTTTTTGTTTCAACTCATGTCAAATCATAGAAATTAGGGGGTGCCTTTTATTATCTTTCTTAACATCAAGTTTAGAATATCAATATGCTTTTTCTTGCAATCAAGCATTTTGAATTGCAACCATATCTAACGTTTCCTTTTGGTAATCCAACTAAAACTTCTAGTCTTCTACGATGATTGTATTTCATGCTAAACATCTCTGGTACATGAATGTTACATTGCCTCATCCAGATGCTTTCATTTTCAAATGGAAGCCAAAGCAAGCAAAATTTGGAAGGACAAAAGCATTGCATTCTTGTTGCTGCAAGTAATCCTTATCCATTGCCTACACCAGTTTATAGACCACAACTTCAGAATTCAGAGCAAAGTGAAAATGAAACACAAACTGATGACCACCGTCTTTCTGATGCGGAGACAGTTGCAAAAGCATTTGCTCAGGTGCTATATTTGTTTGTTGGTTCTCGTTTTTCTTGTTTGTACTATTTTTTGCATCACCGTTCTGCTGAACCTTTTGTATTTCTTTAATTTTGTTGTCGATTTATTATCTTTTACAGTGTTCTGTTTCTCTATCAGTTGTATGTCCAAGACAGGTCTTGAAACTCAAAACAATCTATGCTGCGGTAAGCCTATGACTACAGCAACCTTCTATCAGCTCATTGCTCACTTATTTGAAACAGTTTTTCAAGAATTTGATACAAGGCATAGGCACATAGCTCGTTTATGTTTCTGATTACTATGTAACATTCATGGATCTTTCCTTGCCAGATTTTTTAGATTATTGCATGATGCATCGGTAGCCTAACAAATAAATGAACATCCCACTGTAAAATATTATAGCCATTTTTATTAGCTATTATGTCGGGCTTTTGTTCATATATGCTTCCAATTACTATGTAGCTATAAACTGGCTGCCATATTATGATATTTGCTTATTAAGTGCATAAAGTCTTTCCTTGAAAAACCATTTACTTGCATATTATTCCCTCCGTCCCTAAAAAATTCAATTTTGTTTATGTTTGAACAAAATTATTTGTAATTCCATTTATTTGAATACAGGTGTTAGAGTCAAAATAAAGTTTACTTTTTAAAAAACAACAGCAAAAGGAGTTCTATAAAACAAAATGTGACATGACTATTTATTATAACAAATGATTAATATAAGTAGGAAAAAAAAGTTAGAACTTGTTAGTAGCAAAAATGTAAAAAAATTATGAAAGTTTTTGAGGTACGTCATCTCCTATTTTTCTTCTACCATATTTCATTTCACATGAAATGAACATGGCATTAGATGGTTACCTTGCTGAGCTCAAGATGCCTTCCTTGATTCCATTAATTCACCATTCCAATTCAGCTACACATAACTGCACTGCATATTTCTCCGCCCTTGAATTGCATTCTAATGGATACTATCACAACTCTCAATATAGATATGAATAATTTTTAATCCTTAATCTTTAAATGAGGTACTCCGTATTTTCTAGAGCTTGTGGGGCCATATGTGGAGGAATTTGATTCTTCATTTGTTTCACTGGTCTGCTTTTATTTTAAATAGACTATATATGACAAGCAAAACACTTTGACCTAGGCAAAATGTAATCCACAAGGAGCAGACTTGCCCATCGACAATCCAAAGAATCCATATCATCTTGTTCTAATATCGGAAAACTTTATGGAGGCTCGTGCTGCTTTCAATCACACTGGAATGCCAAGTTTGCATTTAAATCAAAACCCTGTTAAAATGGACGTGCCTTCTGTTCTTCCTGTTTCAGGACCACCAACTTCAATCCCTTCAGGTTTGTTTTTTTGACTTACTCCCTATTCTATATAATGCTCATGCATTTGTTATTTATATTTTATTTGACATTATTATGACCCAAATTCTTGAAAATATTCTCTCTAATATTTTCTTGTAGAAATACTAAAGCATTGAGTTTTTTTTCTGTTACAGCAAATGTTCCTGTCACGAACTGGCAACCAATTCCAACTGGAAACATTCCTTCTGCCATTGTTAAAATTGTAAAACTCTTAACAGTCAATTGTTAGTACTTTGAAAGAGGGATTTTCTTTTTTTCCTCTATAATCTTATTACATATATTTTCAGGAGCCCACAACTGTAACCTCAATGCCCGGGCCCACATTTCCACATGCTCCATCAGCTCCTCGTGCTCCCTCGCAACCTATTCCAAACCTTCAAGCTCCTTCGCCTATTCCTGTTTCCCAGGAAAACAATGAAACTCTGCAGGATACTAAGCCAATGGTCATTCATGGATTATCACAGCCTGTACGTCCACCTGGTGCTGCAGCCGCCAATGTTAGAATCCTGAATGATGTTGCTGTTGCCCAAGCACGACAAGCATTTTCTGGGGGAACATCCATTGGTGGGGGAACCCCTATGCTCTCAAACATGATATCCAGCGGGATGGCATCCTCCGTCTCTGCAGTTCAAAGCATAATGTCAAACGCACAATCAGGTGTGACATCATCAGGACCCACTGGTCCGAGCTCTGCTCCTCCCGCACCATTCACTTCAACATCATATGCCACGTCAGCATCCCCAAATCCAGCCATGTCACAGACATTGAATAATAATGCTCTTCCGGGCAGCGGTACTATGGGTCAAACAGTAGCTGGCATGAATCAAACAAACATGGCAATGCAAATCGCAATGAGCAGGAGTCAGCAGAGTATGACTGCTGTGCCTTCTGGTACTGCTGGTACAATGTTGGTTTCTACTCCGGGAATGAGTCAACAAGTGCAAACGGGGATGCAGCAACAACTTGTTGTAAATAGCAATTCAGCAGTGACCATGTCTCTTCCTCAACAGCAAGCATCTAGTCAAATGCAATCATCCCAATCAAAATATGTGAAAGTCTGGGAGGTGGGTTGCTTTATACATTCAATTATAAGTGATCATATTTTGGAAATTATATAAAGAACTTTAAGGGTTCAACCATTCAAGTTAAACTTGTAATTCAAGTTTCTTAGAATTATGCAATATCGGCCACCATGCCTTCTATTTTTCATTTTTGTAGACTCCCTTGGTCCCAAAGTGGAGGCATATTTAAGAACATTTGTTTGTCTCGAAGTGTTTTGTTTAAAAAATAAATCCGTTTTGAACAGATTTTTTTTAAGCTGCTTGCCAAGTGGTTTTTGTCAATTACTCCAAACAATCTTGGAATTAAGTTTTCTGGGTACAAGTAACCATTCATTACTTGTAAAAGCTTGTACCTTGATCGAGTATACTAAAAACTTAAAAGTTGTACCTTACTCAAAGAAGACTCTTTTTTTGGGACAGATGGAGTACTTTAAAGAACTACAAAATTTCACTGCTCTGTGCAACAGTATTTGCGAGCACCAGGATGGCTGGGATAGGTGGCTTGATATTACTTGTGTCAATTACACCACCATTAACAAGTATGCCCTATCCCAAGTAACTTGGGATCAATTATATGAATCAAGACAAGAATTACTTTCGGTCATTTCCAAAAATGCTCTTTTTTGCCAATTACGTAGTAATTGTCTAAATTAGTTAACAGTTTAATAATATAATTTTATGAGTGAAAAAAAGCCTAGTTGCAATAGTTTTACGCGGGACGCACTTCGTGTTGCAACCTTCGTATGGATGTGATTGATAAGTACTGTCTTCTAAAATATTGGTTTTGTTTTATCTTGCAGGGGCACTTATCTGGGCAGCGACAAGGTCAGCCTGTGTTCATTACTAAGCTAGAGGTATCTTTCCACTCAGCCTGTAAATTTCTGTATGTTATGTACAGTATGTTTTATAATATTCTGGATTTCTTGAATAATAACTGATTTCATACGATCTGCATTTGATTATTTTGCTTGTTTGTGGAACTTATGATGTATTTACCCGTGACAGGGGTATAGGAGTGCGTCATCATCAGAAACGTAAGTGTATACATTTATAAATTCAGTTGAATATAGAGTTTTAAAAAAATTGAATATAGAGTAATAGATTTTATTCTGAATTCTAATGCTCCTAACCACTTCAACTCTAACAGGTATTTATGAAACTGAACTCTAATTGTTTTGTTCATCTAAGAATGAAAAAGACAACACCGTGCTGGGGTGTTGTCAAATATGGAAAATAAGGACATCTACCTTTCTAAGTTTCATTTGATTTGCACTCCAGAGTGGAAACCATCTAGTTCCTTTTTATGATGGATTTGGTCTTGTTGTAGATGCAAATTAGTGTGAATATTAAGAATGAGATAAGGCGGGGGACCGGGGACTGAGGAGCTTGATAATTTTCATGGAATCCTTTACTAACAATCACTGAGGATCTCTTTGGAAACTACTTTTATCAACACTGACAGGGAACCTTTTGAGTGATGACTATTCGGATTTATTGTTGGAGATATAAGCCTCACAGATTGTTGCTGCCTCTTATAATTAACTTTGTTTCCTGTTCTGCCACCATATGCTGACATGAGGTGAATTGAGTTTTTTTTAACCTTTTTCTTTTTCAGGCTCGCAGCGAATTGGCCTGAAACAATGCAAATTGTACGACTTATTTCCCAGGATCATATGAGCAATAAGTAACTTTATTCTCATCTCAATTACTGCATGTTCTTAGGCCACTTAAATATAGTCTTATACTCCCTCTGTCCCACAAAGAACATTGTTTTCACGGAGTTTTTGAAGAAAAGTGAAAAATGTATTGTTGGAATCTGTTTGGAAGAGAATTTTTGTGAGCCGCATATATCTTCCCTTTAAACTTCTAAGCAAATTTACTGTGTTAAAGAATCGAAAAAAATACTAGAAAAGAATTGTGAAGTTTTTTTTTGAAACATCCAAATAAAAAAAGTGTAGAGTTCTTTGTGGGATGGAGGAAGTATTACACAATAAATGCTCACCCTTATTTTTATCTATTTTTTTTTTATATTTTATGCTAGGCAATATGTTGGGAAGGCAGATTTTTTAGTTTTTCGGGCAATGAACCAGCATGGTTTTCTAGGTCAATTACAAGAAAAGAAGCTTGTAAGTATTCGACTGAGGCTTGGCTAAATAAGAACATGTTAAAATGAAAAGCATGTTATAGAGATCTTTTTTTCTTGTCACGGTATACAAAGAGTGCTATATTATTGCATATTGTGATGTCACTATCTGTTTGATTTGTGCGCAACTCTCTAAAACGTAACTAGTTTGAAATGAAGAAGTCAGGCCAAATCAATGTTGTAAAAAGCTTTAGGTACTCAGGCCAAACCAAAAGTTGTGCCGAAGTGCAAAATTCTGGGTTAGGCGGTGCCTCTTGTGCTTTAATATTTTGCATTCATATCATTTTTTTCTTTGTAATAAGAAGGTTGTGATGGGAAAGATATCCGATGCAAAAAAAATGATTGTTCATTAGTTATATTTGTACCAAGATTGTTCATTAGTTATATTATGCAATCTTACCCATGTAAAAGCGAGAGAGGTTGTTTCCATTAGTATTTACCAATACTAATCCCAACCATGAAGTAGTAAATATTATAAAAATCTATGAATTAAGTGTAAAATAATAGTAGATATTATGTTACCCATGCTACAAGCCTACAACTAAGATTTCTTATCAATAAACCTTACTACAAAAATCATTTTTTTTAATTTGACGCTATAAATTTAATGGTGATATGTTGCTTTTCTTAAATGGCTCTTGATCAAATGTTTGTCATATTAACTAATATGGTATGAAAGAATCTTTTTTCTAGTGTGCAGTCATTCAATTGCCCTCCCAGACACTATTGCTCTCTGTTTCAGATAAAGCTTGCCGCTTGATCGGGATGCTTTTTCCAGGGGTAAGATTTCCTGTAGTTCTTTGGTGTATATTTGCATAATGGAAAATGACAGCTAAAAGGAAGAAAATGTTATGTTAAATTTTTTGTCTTGTTTGACCATGGGAAATGAAATATGACATTATTAGTCATAATATGTATAATTCTTAGTCTCTATATAACAGAAATAAATAAATAAAACGTCTTAAGCAAATCCCCACCCCCTACCCCGCACACACCAAAAATAAAACTCTCATTTTCCATATTCCAAAAGGACCCTTAAGGCGTTGCCGATTTTAGCCATTATATACACGCTTGGTTGAAATTTTAGCTATATATATGTAGGATATGGTAGTATTTAAACCCCAGATCCCAAACCCGCAACAGCAGCAACAACAGATGCAAGCTCAACAACAACACCCTCAGCTTCAACAGTTGCAGCAGCAGCAGCAGCAAACGCTCTCTCAGATTCCCCAGCAGCAACAGCTCTCCCACATGCAACAGGCGCCACCAGCACTCATCCAACAACAACAACTACAGCAACAACAACAAATGCAGCAGCAGCAACCACCCCAACAACAGCAGCAGGTGTACATGCAAGGCCCCGGGCGACCGCAGCTAATGTCTCAGGGGGGGCAAGTTTCGTCACAAGGACTTCCAAACATCCCCACCAGCGGCTTTATGAACTGATTCCTCTCTTCATCACACTGCTGGTTGATATTACAAGGATACAGGTAGGTAATTAAGTAGGTATCTTCCCAAATGATTTCAAAAACAGCCAAGGTTCTCTTTGTGTGGAATATGTGGGCATTATTGACTGTGTAATAGGAAAAATGGATTTTGAGGATAAATTATTAGAATAGTGCTAGAAACCCACCACCCTTGCCTCCACGCATGACAATACAGTTGATTTCATACCTGCAGAGACAATAATCGTCTGTGTTGTTCATAGATGATTATCGTCTGTATAGGTATAAAATCGTCTGTGTTGTTATGCGTGGGGGTGAAGGTGAGGGAACTGTAGCACGGTCCAAATTATTATGCAATTTCAAGGAGTGTCATTCATGGGAATCACTTGGTTTGTTTTTAGTTCTCTTGATCATTGTGTTAATTCCCCTTGACCTACATTAATCTTCTCTTTAGAAATGTCCCTCTTCTATTAAGCTTTGTTAAATAAATCAGGCACGTAATATCTGCGGAAAAAAAGCAAATCCAAGAGATTTTGGATTATATTTTTGCATTTGGTTTGGTTCATTCTTTGAGTATTCTGCTCCCAAGAGAGACTTGTTCTTGCTAGTGAAAGTGTTTAACCATTTTGTTTTGTAGATTACTTTGCTCATACTCTTGGTCTTGGAACTGCAGTGTCCAACTCTTGGGTTTTATATAGAATTTGATTGAGAACCTTAAATGGAGTAGATACCGGTCCAGTTTTGGTTTGACTGGTCTGGCTCCGGTTCAGTTATTGAATTGTGGTTTCCAATTCTAATTCAATATACCCAACCAATATTAGGAATAAGACACTGTTTGAGCTCAACCTGTCCATTCTGCTAAGGTATTATTCCAACACACATCATTTCATGAATGATTTTTTTTTATTCTTAGTCAAATATTATGACTTCAAGGCATTCAAACATGGCAATATGAATAGTAGCAACCTGAGATTTACTACTGTACAAATAGTAATTTTTTCTATTAATTTTCAGCCCTGTAAGCATTTTCAAGGAATAGAGCAAAATACTCTTTCTCACAAATAACTTCATTTTTCAGTTTTACAAAAGTTTTCAAAATATGAAAGTGAGTATCACAAAATTGAAACAGTTTAAAAGGAAGAAAAGAAATCACCTAAAATAAGATTAAAATATTGATAAAGTATTAAAATAGGAATTCTATATTTTAACCTAATATATGAGTTTGCATTGTATAATTTTACAATAATTATATATTGATATTTCATAATATTTTTTTGTTACTCCTACATCCAAATCCTAAATATGATTAATACGGAGTAATAAAATAATACTCCCTTCGTCCAAAAATAATCTTCATGTTTACTATTCATAGGGTCAAACTTATTTTGTCAATTTTTTATGTTCATTTGATACAATAATATAGTAATGTCATATCTAGGTTTGTAATCTTTTCATGTATTTTTTAAATGTGTGATTTTTATTTTTTAGTTCACACCATTTTTTCATATAAAATGATTTGAAAATAACTTTAGTCAAACATCGTAACTTCAGTCATATAAAATGATTTGAAAATAAATTCATATGATTTAGAATCTGGCTTGTAAGATGACTTATCACTCTGAATATTACTCTGTATATTAGCTCCATCATCTTCATCAATAGAACCACCAACATTGCCAACAACATCAGACCCGCAATCATCGTCCTCCTTGATATGAGATTCCTCGCTTGATTCCTTTGATTCATCAGGCGGCTAGTGTGGTTGCGTCTTCCATCAAGTGGACAAATATCTCTCTAGTCTTCTTCGGTGTCTTCTCAAAATAAATACTCCCTTCGTCAAGAATTACCTATTTACGGTTACAATATCTCGATAACTTTTGATTGTTTAATTATTTGATAAAATAGATAATTATTGTCACCTCTTCTTTGGTAGAGTATTTGGTGTAGTTTTTAAATATAAAATTTTTATATTGTCACCAACTTGTAAATAATTTTTTTTTCACCAACTTGTAAATAATTATTGTCACCAACTTGTAAATAATTTTTTTTTAAAAAAGTCACAAGATTTTGCACGTTGATCAAATAAGGTAATTCTTTTATGGACGGAAGGAGTATAATCTAAGGTCATATTCTTTACAACTTATTTTTTTACTTATTACTTATTCTTATTGGAATTATATTAGAAATAGCTTTAAATATAACTACAATACATCAGACCATATCAGTTCAGAATTTATTCTAATCAAATTAGAAGAAATCAAATCAGGTAAAAAGAACATGACCTAAATCATGTAACAGAGCAAATTGGATCTTAAATTTTTGAACAAAAACCTCCCAACCATCAATTAAGTTACCACACATACGCTAATTAAACCAATTCAAGGCAGATCAAATGTAACCTTACTTGAGCTAATGGGCTCATGGGCCCAAACTCAAATCATAAACATGATTTAAGAATAAAATAATAATAAATTAATGAATAAGTAATAAACTAATATAATTAATTCATTATCCTATCATTTAAATATATAAATTTCTAATTTTATTTCTATACCTATTTAAATGTAATCAGTTTAAAAGAGTAATTTTTTTAACCATAATTTGGGAACCCGAGGGAGGGAGTAAGTAGAGAATAAAAGTGAAGTAGAGTTCTGACAGTTTTTTTAAATAACGAATTTACCCTTTCTGAAATGCTATCATATCTATCAATTCAATTCTCTGTTGCATAAAGATATCTTTTAGATTTACACTCCAAAATTTAATTCCAAAATCCAAACATTTTCTTTTCTTTTCTTCTCTTTTCTTTCTTCTTCTTCTTCATCCCCACAAGCTAAGGAATCAACCCTTTTTTTACTGAGAGAAAGAGAAAACAGTGAAATGAGGCACATATCTTCAGATATGTACAATTACTGCAACCCTCTTTTTTACCTCAGGTTAATTATATATATATTTTTACCTCTGTTTCTTCATTTCATTTTTTTCATCAGGGCTTATTCTGGTTTTAATCTTTGAATAATTTGATGTTTTCTTTTTGTATATAGAGGTAATAATAATAATAATAGTAATGATATAGAAGAAGTTTCCCACTTCACTCCAAGCTTTCACCACCATGAAGTTGAAGATTCTCTCCATTTATGCACAAGTAAATATTTTTTCCCTCTCCAGTCTCCATACATAACATTTACATACTTTCTTAGTTTCTGTCTCGAAATCAAGTTTTTTTTGGGTTTTAATTACAGAGTTTAAAAAAAATTAATTGAGTGATTGAGATTTACGAAAATAGAAAAATTTGCTCCATAGGACTAAATGGTTATACGTAACCCATATATAGGACCAAATATGTTTTATTTGCTTTATGGCACATAGTTTCATATGATTTGTCATATATGCTCTCATCAATAATAAGTATTGGATAATGACTCTATGAATGGAGTCATTAACAACACATGTTTGATAATGGCTGATTATTTCAATGATTTTTCCAATTATTTTTAATGATGTCTTAATCTACTTGAATTGTGTAATAGGTCATTTTCTAAAAAAATAAGACATTTTAGAATTTTTTCATTGTCAAATGTTAAAGTAGATGCGAGGGGTAAGTGATACTCACTCCCAGCCCATTGCACATTACGATGTTTGATTTGAATTATTTATAAATCAATTTATCTGAAAAATGATGTGGAATTAAAAAATAAAAATTACATATTACTCCGTAAAAAATTGCATAAAAAAATCTACACAATTAGATGTGAATGACTATATCATTTTTCTCTAATGTATTATGAAAATAGGCTGAATAAAGTTTGACCATGTGAATAGTGAAAAGGAAGATAATTTTTGAATGGAGTGAGTATGTTTAACTCCTATTTGGGTAAATTATTCTTAGAATAAGGAACACAAAGTAATCCTAATATCGTCCATACAATTATTTTCTTAAAAAAGAAAAAGAAGACAAGCAGGGTGGTTGTGAAATGATAATTTTTTTTAAAGGTTTGGTGTGAAAACATATTTTATGCCTTTTTTTGGTTTTTGTGGGGAGTAATTTTGTTTTAAAATTGGTGCTAATTTTGATTTTTTTTTCATGATTAATAATGCCAAACTTTGATTGACAATGGAATATATATACTCCATATTTATATAATTACTACGTATATAGGAAGTACATAAAAAACTTGCTTCTCAAGAAATACATAATACTCCCTCCGTCCTACTGTTTTTGTCCACTTACCTTTTGGCACACCATTCAATGCACTTCTTTAATCCATTTTATCTTGTAATTTGTATATTGAAAAATTATAGAAATTATATATTAATAATCTATATGTTAAGACGAATCAAACAAGATCACACATGACTATTTTTAGGCTTACACATTGAGAGAATTTGATGAGTCAAAGTGCTTAGATGAACAGTTCCAAAAGTCAAATATGGACAAAGACAGTGGGACGGAGGTATTAAACTAGTTTTGCAAATTTAAAACGATCATGCTAGGTAAACTACTTAAAGATTTTACTCCAAAGTGTATCTTGCTGATTTACACTTATATTTTGATTGTTTACATTGACACAAAAAGTCGGTGCAATCACAAAATTTTGCACTGATATTCTTTGTCAATATAAGTCATCGATCTTGCACTTAGACCATGTGTTAGGGTGGGGTGAGGAGGGCTTGACCTCCCCTTTCACGCCCCATTCACCATTACGGGCTTCCTTTTTTCAGACGTGGCCCCTCACTGCGTGAGGGCCATCTCGCTGTGGCCTCCTCACCTTTTTTTCATTTCAACCAATTAAAATAATTCACATCTTCACCCCAATATACATTTTTATACTCCGTCAAACCTCTATGAAGTCCGTCATAACACATGGCCTTACATTGACAAAAAAAATACTCCGTATAAGTGTAGACCTTTGGGTATATTTTCGTGTACAATCTTTGAGGGACAACTAGATTTATTCAATTTAAAATGAGTTTTTTACGTCATTTACTTCTGATTTTTTCATAAAGTGCTAGTTTGTCCCTATAATTTTTATAAAATGGGTGTTTTACTCCCAAATTCTTTAAAAAAGTGTATGCTTTTCTTCGAACTTTAAAGAATGCATCATTAATTTTTATACTTTTCACAAATTACATGTTCTAACCGTCTATTTTTTTTTCTTTTTGTTCAAATTTGGTTTAAGACTTTAAATCAAGTGATATTCGTAGGGTAAAACATAAACTTTATTAGAATTATATATTTGAAAATTCAAGAGCAAATATGTACTTTATTAAAACTCGGAGGTAAATGGTGTAATAAATTTCAATTTCAAATAAGAGTGCTTCTATAGTACACTTCGGGTGCATATGATTTTTGTGGAGCTTCTTACATAAAAAAATATTTTTTTATATTTTTGTATAAAATAAATAGATGCTTATTTTTATTAAGAAAATCTTATTTTAGTAAGAAAATGCTTATTTCAAAAATTGGGTCGTACAAAATATTGTTGGACATTTTGCACCCGTTAAAGTGGGCCCGTAAAATAAAAATTTAACTCTTACTCCGTACGATGTACACCCCATTATCTAAATCTATTGAAAAAAACAAAGAGTTAACGTTGCAGGACCAAGTACGAGTTAGTTGTAATTTGGTCTAAAAATTATACCAAATTATTGGAATAAAAAAATATTTTAAATGTTTTATCTTTAATATTTTTTCATTTTTTTGAGAATATGTTTTAAAGGATATTGTTGGGAGTAGATTGGTTTTGTGAAAAAGTAATACTTGTGTAATAGATATTTTCCAAATGTCTTTTTTGTTTGTTTGTGAAAGATCATCACATTACTTTTTTTATACTTCTTCCATCTAAAAAAGAATGCCACCATGTACACCACAATTACTTCTGTCTAACTTTTATTTGCTTACTTATTTTGGTTGATCATTTGATAAAATAAAATATTTGAAAAATGCTATTATGTACCCCAAATATTCCTCACTCTTTCCTTAACCACAAAAATTTGCATGTAGAATTCAAAAAAATAAATAAAAATGAATGGTAAAGACTCCTAAAGAGGCATGTGGTGTATATTTAGAGTACACCCCTTGTTTTGTAGAACTTTTGATCTGTTTTTGAACGGTGTAATTTTTTACTTTTTATTTTACTAATTTATAAATAAAATATTTTTTAAAAAGATGATATTTTGCACGTCTTTAAAAAATGTTGCTTACATTTTAGAACGGAAGGAGTATAAAAGATCATGTTGAATAGATTTTTAATCGAGAGAGAGAGAGAGAGTAGTAGTATATAGATTTTGAAACTTCCTCTGTCCCTAAAAGATTACCACAATTTAATTTTTTTGATCAAACTATGGTACTTTTTGATAGTAAATTATAGAAAGAGTATATTTAGTTATAATGTAAATTTAGTGAAATTGGAGTTATTTTGAAATATTAAACCCTTATTGTATATAATTATTTTAAAATATACTTCGTATTTAATTTGTAATCAAAAGGTATCACAATTAGACTCAAAAATCAAATTGTTGCAATCTTTTAGGGATAGAGGAAATAATATGTTTGTTTATGTGAAAATACTAATGAAATGTTTGTTAAAATGATTATAGGCTCAATTTATAATGGAATGACACAAAGCAATGTCTCCCTTGTCTCTCCTAATACCTTGCATCACTTTGGTGAAATCAACACCGTACGTTTTCTTGTACTCCATCTCTCTTTACATCTGGCCCCTTTAATATTGGATTGGATTAAGTTTAATGGAAATTAAATAGATTTGATTTAAACTATTCAAAATCACTTAATTTTTAAATTTGTTTTATTTACAAACTTGTAAAAAATGAAAAAAAAAATAATTTACACATTTTAAAACTATAAAAATTATTTTTTAAAATAAGAGAAGAAAAAAATAGTTTACTTTATCAAGTACTCAATGAAAATATGTAAATAAACAAAAGTTATCAAGTGAACGTAACACTAGTAGAGTAAAAATTGGACATCTAAAAACAAAATGTGGATTTTGTGTCCCGCCAATTATGACCTGTAATTGTGATTGGTGAACGGGTATATATGATGCAGAGCATTGGGTCATCGGAAACGGCAGTGGTGGCGGAGGGAGGGAGGTTTCCGGTGCAGGGTGGCGGTGCAGCGGTGGTGGACGGTGGATTGGGAAACGTGAATAATTTTGAGAACTGGGGAGATTCTGCCACGGCGGAGCACAGCCACCAGACTGACACTTCAACTGATGTTGACACTGATGAGAAAGTTCAGGTAATTAATTAAGCAGGGTGTAGTTTTTCCTTTAATTCATTATTTCCTCCTAACTAAATTAGATTACAATTCTTTTGAGATTTATATCTCGATAATTTTTGTTTGTTTGTGTATTTTTATTGAAAATTTGATAAAATAAAATATTCTTCACCTGTTCATTTATAGAAATTTTAAAGTAACTTTCAATACTCTACAAGTAAATTTATTTTTATAATTATGATTGTGAAATGATTATATTATTTTGTTTACTTCTATTTTTCTTCAAAAAATGAACAAACTTCAATATAATTACTAATTAAATAAAATTTACCCTACCTATTAATATGACGAAACATTTTTTTAAAAATATTTTGCAAAATGAATATAATTAATAATGAAACTATTTTTTATCAAAATGCAATGCCTTTTCTATTTAATTGATGAGAAACTTGCATTATTTTTTCCAAACTATATGAATGACAACATTTAACCTTTTGCCCCATTGATATTAAAATTTAACAATACTATATTAACAATATTTTGATAGTAATCTGCAAAATTTTCAATTTTATGTTAAGAGTTTCTGCATCCCACATGGTGCTGCTGTTATGGGTTTGGATTCAATTGAGAAATCCAAAGGAAGACTTCTTGGAGAGCAAAAGGTAATTTTCTTCATCACTTCTATTCCTTTTCTTTTTTATTTGTCAATTTTAAGTTTTTTTATGTCATACTTTAAGACTTGAGAGTGTCAATTTTAAATAAATTAAAATATAAGAATAAGGTCATAACATTTGTTTCAAAGTTCTGCCTCCGTTCCCCAGTTTTTGTCCACTTTTGACTTTTGAAATTGTTCATCTTAGGATTTTGACTCATCAAATTCTCTCAATGTGTAAGCCTAAACATAGTCATGTGTGATCTTGTTTGATTTGTCTTAACATATAGATTATTAATATATAATTTTTATAATTTTTTAATATACAAATTACAAGATAAAATGGATTAAAGAAGTGCATTGGATGGTGTGTAAAAATGAAAGTGGACAAAAACTGGGGGACGGAGGGAGTATTACTTTTAATATTTCATTTTTATAATTTTTTTTGCTGATACATTTCAAGGGACATTGTTTTTAAAAAAATTGAGTACGAAAAGGGAAACAAATTGTTACTCCCCCCGCCCCAATTTAAATCATCTGTTTCGGTTTATGATGTTCGTCTCAAGTTATTTTCAAATTATTTAATATGAAAAACAGTGTAGGATTAAAAAATAAAAATTGCATAATTAAAAACTACACCAAAAGATATACAAAACTAGTAGTGACATAACAATATTATTTCATCAAATGACTAACGAAAATAAGGAAACAAAGTGACTAAATTTTGACCCTGTCAATAGTAAACAGACAAATTAATTTGGGACATGAGAGTAAAAAAATACAGAAAATATTTCTTCTCATATTCAATTTTATGATAATTCCAAAAAACAAAAGGATGAAATATGCTAAATAGTAAATCCAAATCCTAACTGGCTAAATCTACTACATTTATAGTAAATCCAAATCCTAACTGGCTAAATCTACTACATTTATAAAAAATGGACACATTTGCCCTTTCACTTCTTTCTTTCCCCATATCAAGCATTAAATGTAAACTAGTATATTTGACACAAAAGAGAGTGGATATATATGATATAGCCAAATATAGGGTAGATTTAGCAATAATCAAAACAAAAATAGAGTTTTTAGACTAATGAATTTCTTGTGCATTTTTTCCCCTGCAGTCACTTCGTCGACAAGCTCAGAACAGAGAAGCTGCTCGTAAAAGCCGGTTGAGGAAGAAGGTAATCCATGAAAATCCCACATTTCTTTTTGTTCATTAGGGTTCGTCGTCGAAATATATATTGACTTAAAATTGAGACAACATTTGTAACTGGCGTTAGAGTTTTGAATAAATTTTAAATGAGTGTTTACACATTATTTATAAAGTCTTGTGTTCATTTGATAGGCATATGTCCAAGAACTGGAGAATGGTAGGCTAAGGCTTGCGAAACTCGAGCACGAACTGAATCAAGCTCGCCAACAGGTTCTTCGTTCTGTCGATTTCACGAATCGGCTCATAAAAGATTTTATACTCTGACATGTTCAAATAAATCGTCCCTTTGATGCAGGGAACACTAGCACCCGCAACCGGTTCGGTTGGAGATAAGAGCCACTCTTCCGTTGGAAATGGTGAGCACAACTCAGATTATTATATAGTGAAATTTGCACTGAATAGGACTAAAACATAAGTTATCTGGAGCTGGCTTATATATTATTCTCACATTTATTCATTGAATGTGCATTTCATTTCAGGAGCTTTGGCGTTTGACATGGAATACGGGACCTGGCTCGACGAGCACCAACGACTCGTCGCCGACTTGAGGTTGGCGGTGAATTCTTTCTTTGGAGACAACGAGCTTCGCCATGTCGTCGATGGTGTGATGTCACACTACGACAAATTGTTTCGGATAAAGCGAATTGGCGCGAAGTCGGATGTTTTCCACGTGCTCTCGGGAATGTGGAAGACTCCCGCCGAGAGATGCTTTATGTGGCTAGGCGGGTTTCGTTCCTCCGAGATTCTCAGGGTACGTTTGGAATGGGCCGGCCCCGAAAAATGAAAAAATAAAATTGGCCCGGTCCAAAATTTACATTTTGTGCCCTATTTCATATTTTTAGAATACTTTTGCTTTGAAATTATTAAGAAATTTAAAAATATGGTGCCCTAAATTTTAAGGGGCCCTGTGCGGTTGGCCACTTTGCACACCCTTCGGAACACCTATAGATCCCAAGACAATGTTTCCGATTATATTCATGTTTTTCAATTAGGTCATAAGACAGTTAGACTAAATCCAATCGATTATTTAATACAGATACTGGGGAGCCATTTGGAGCCATTGACAGAGCAACAGCTGGTGGGTTTGTGCAAGTTGCAGCAGTCTTCGCAGCAGGCGGAGGAGGCGCTGTCGCAGGGAATGGAGGCGCTGCAGCAGCTGCTGGTGGAGACGCTGTCGTCCGCCTCTCTCGGCGACTACATGGACCAAATGGCCGCCGCAATGGGGAAGCTCGCCACCGTCGAAAACTTCCTCTATCAGGTCAGCTAAAACACACCACGGTTGACACCACCGATGACAACGGTGAGTTTGTACAAACACGTGTGTGTGATCGTGCGTGGACAAATTCACAGACGGTGTCATCTGTGGTGTTAACTGATACAATTTGATAATAACTTGTCTTATTGAATATTGAGAGATATGGCCCTATATATAGGGAATACAAGAGTAATCAAAGTACAAGTAGGAAAGGAAAGAATAATCCTAGTAGGAAAGGAAAGAAGTATCCTAATTTAATTATACTTCCTAATATCCCCCCGCAAGCTGATCAACGGAGACGAGGGGCAGCTTGGAACATAAGTACTCAAAAGGAACTGGCGGAAGCGGTTTGGTAAGAATGTCTGCTAGCTGCTCTGAGGAGGAAACATGATGTGGAGTCATAGTGCCTGCCATAACCTCATCTCGTACAAAGTGACAGTCTGTGCCCACATGCTTCATGCGATCATGAAGAACCGGATTTTTGGTGACACAGATAGTCGACTCATTGTCACAGTATAACTTCGGTTTGGACGGAGGAATACCCAGCGCATCAGTGATATAT